TTCTCCAATAAACGTTTCAAAGCTGCTCAGGGCTCAAATTAGTAGAAACTCAATTTGCACACAAAATTCATTTAAAAATAACTTTATGATGTTACGAGCTAAGGGTTAAGCTTTATAATGGATGAAAGACAGTTTGGAATTACCATTTGACTGGCTTTTTTTGCTAGAGAACAAAAGTTCAGGCTCATTAGCAACATAGTGTTAATGTTAAAGTTTGGTTATCCTCAACGCACATTCACCCTTCTTCCTATAATCATAGTAGCGGCATATTTTGATGACAGCTGTTATGGACATGCTGTGTGTGTTCCAACTGAAGCGATCTTAACAAGAAGTTTTACGTGCTAGACTGCTACAAATTTAAAAAAAAAAAAACAAAAAAAGGAGAAGCCATGTATACCCTGTTATTGCAGCTAACGGAAATAATTTTCCCATATCAGTAAAACAACAACATCAACAATAAGAGCCTTAATGGTAATGGCGATAATTGACAAATGGGAGAAAGGCACAACTACGCTATGCGTTCAGGACAATTCGCTATAAGTATGGCCATGTTACACTACGTGAATGTATAACTTTGGCGGAAAGATGACTCATACGTACAGGCTCAATGTTTCTATGGTACCACGTTCAGTAGTCAGATGTCTTCTGCTGGGGTATTTCCATATACTTCGAACTGAGGTCATCACGTGGCGGATCGTTATGAAAATAGCAGTCATGAAAACGAATCTCTATTCTGTGTAGGCACAGAATTTCAGCGCAAAAATCAGCGTTCGCTGACAGAATAAACAGCTTATCCAGACAGATTTATTTTAGCTACCAGCCACTGTTACCATCACCCCTTTGAAAGTCAAACCATGTTCTGTCCGCTGCTCCTAACCGCATCGTGTAAAGCCTGGGCGGAGTCTGCCTACTATCGTCGCAGTCTACAATACCAAGTCAATCAAACAACTAACAACCAGCACAACGACACAGAGTACAAAATAGGGAAGGAACAACAGAGGGGAACTAGCTCGAGTTAAATAGCTGGACGAGAAAGACATAATAGAGTTTGAGACCCAAGATAAAGATAGTCGTTGCGTTTGTTGCCCTTGTTTATGGACTGTGCCATGAGTTACGGCGGAGACGGTTTCGGTGGAGAAGGAAGCTGTAGAAGGGGTGGCCGGAGGAGGTGTTGGCAACGGCGGCGGCAGCTATGGTATACACAGAGCAAATGGAGAGCGATGGTCATTTTGTCAACACCAGCATTCAGTAATTCGCTTAAATCGGTAATTTTGATGACTACGTTTGTGGTGATAAAAGTTGTAGTGATCATGGCGGCTACCGTAAGTAGGCAGAAGAGAAAACTAGTGAACTCCAACGGCTTTTTTGTATCATGAAAGAAAATCAGGTAACGCAGATGTACATCATACGCAGATACGTTAAATAACGAAAACAATGGGGCAATTACTTAATTACTGATTGGATAAAGAGACAACCATATATAGCACCTGTGTATCCGTTCAACAGAGTTTGTATGTTTAGGTGGTAGATTTTTACATCGCCGTAAAAGCTGGCCTTGTATGCAGTGTTCGAACAGTTGGCGAATCAATTCAAGTAACTGGATACACAGCATGTACATAGAGCAAAAAAAGCGAAACTTCTAAGAAAAAAAAAGAGGCAGAATTTTTCAAGTGCTGCTCAGACGCTTTACCAGGAAGTGTTTTAACGTAACCTCGGCAAATAGTTGGCCGCACAGCGTTGAAACATTCCCATTTTTACGCAGTTCTATAGCGGCCTCGAACTCTAGCTTTCTATGTCTCTATAGAGTGCGTATCAATGAAAGTAGTTTTTGAATTCGTTATTTGATTTTATATAGAAATGAAAAGAAGGCATTGGCGCATGTTATATGGCTGGTGGATAACAGAAACTTTCGTATTCATGTGCCTGTAGCCGCCTTGTCTTGCTAGCTGTAAAAGAGGGTTAGGCTAGAATTGCTTAGTATCTAAGCGACAGATGACCATAATCGAGGAGCCACATGGGACAAAAGCCTCAGTGCAGTTCATCGTTCATCAGGAAGCAAACTGAGGACTCAAAAGAAACCCAGTTTGCTAACCGCGATGCAGGGCGGGGTCGTTTTCACCATACTGAGATCTCATTTTTTGTAGCGCTTTCAATCGGCTGGTTTTGTGATGAATATGAGAGTGTCATTCAGAGCAGCAGCAGCAGCAGCAACATGAATAGCAACTTTTACAATATAGTTATAAAATATAGGGCGTTCCACGTATTAAAGAAAAGATCGATGTGTAGTTAACGATTTCAGCATCGAGATGAGCAAGCAGTACGTACGTTCAGGCAGACGTTGATCAAGTCTGTATTTAATTGCGATTAGTCATTTCCTATCTAGAAGACTGATTAAATATTACCGAAGATGTATAGTTTAAACCCAGAAGGGTTCAATAGAATATACGGAAAAGGAAATTTGTGGCGAAAGGCTGCCAGATCGAGTGGCTTTTATAATGTTGCGCAGACGCCTCCCTCAGAACTGAGACCTCATGCTGTCATCTATAGGTTTTACACCACCGCTTTTCGATGCTAAATATCAGATAAAATTTGTCATACTTCTTCGAGGTCATAAATGTTCGCCAATCGTGCGAAACGTTAAATTAAAAAGTAATGCTTGAACCGAACGACAAGTAGAGATAGACAAGAAATGGAAGGGAACAACTTTTTAATTGCTCAATACGTCTATCTCAGTTATCTGTATACCTCAGCATATCTCAGTATATCTGATTATACTAGAGTGCACATAGTTTGTGAATAATTCCACGGGTCACGTGACTCCCCGAATCAGATTTTCAATCTCGTCACGCCTCCAGCTTTAAAAAATTATTTAAAAAAAAAAACGGTTGTGATACAAAAGACAGGCATCGTAGAACTATTATTAATTATTATGCATTATGGATAGGGCGACACTCACATCTACGGCTAAGAACCTCTTTAAGATCTCTGTTGTACGAGTCCAGGCGGTTATGGTCCTTCATTTCTGAGAACCTTTTGCCTGGGAACAAAATCCTTCTATTACACATCTAACTTTCCCTGCGCAAACGGACCAGTGTCAATGAAGGCCCATGATTAAAATAAGGCAGTGGCATTGTAAAACATACCTTCTAAGGTATTTTCTCTTGTTAGTCAAAAGGCCTCGCAACCTCTAATCGAAAACTGAGATGCGGACTAAATCTGAGTCCACCGTATGGGGAGCCCTACATCGTATTTTCCTATATAGTATAGCGGCGGTATTTTAAGGTGCATCAGTGGCCTGTTTGAGACGAAGAGAAAGGTTAAACTGTGGCACGGCAATTAAAGTAAGGCTTACAAAGAAACATAATCATCTCGAGTTATTTGCGCAATAAACTAGCGTTCGCTTAATTCTGTTTTGGTTAAGGCGACGAACCACGTGATGACATATAATATATGCATGATGTGGATTTTTAGGCTGACAGGTTGTTTTCTCTTTTCATGAAAAAAAACTATTCGTTAGAATCAGGTATTCGAAAATCAGGAAATCGAAAATGGATAAGGTTATGAGGCTGGTAGGAAAACTTATTTATGTTAATGTCCACTTGAATTTGCCAGGCCGGATAGTATGCCATTATATCTAAACTAACTCGATTGTGCCACACGAATCTTACCAGGATCAATACAATTGAAGAAGCTTTATTTCATGTTTATCTGCATAGAAAACGTGCCACACAAGCAAGCCAAATATCCAGGAAGCGTTCCGCCTTCCCTGGATAATTGGCAGAGTTTGTCTACTCTTAAAATGCGCTACATGTTAACACCAGCTACAAATTCTACCCTCACCGTAGCGTAAACAGGTTTAATCGACTTGTCAAACTTTAAAGAAAGATGTCCATTTAAGGAACTACCCTCTGTCTCGCGGCACCTTTGCGCAACGGCGCACTGCATTGATCGGTTGTTATTATTATAATTATAAATCTGCTACGATGCAAAAAATTTCTTCTGTTTTAAAGCACCGTCTTGGAGAGCGTTCGCTTTCAAGGAGATGTCTAATGCGGTAAAAAAAAAAAAAGTTGTGGACAACCCAACGATGATATTCGTTTTTGCTTGTTGTTATATTTTTTGCCTTTAGATGAAAGCAGTATGCTAGCAGACACGCTACTATAACCTAACCTGGTTAGGTTACCTGGTTACTAACGACTGTGAATTGAAAATTGAATGTTTTAGCCTTTCACGTGTATAGTTCTAGAGCACATTAGATGGTCGTAGTCTTATGATAGGACTAAACGTTTACACAACAGTGCGTTCTGAGGCGCCGATAAAACTGTTACGAAGTAATTGCCCTGTTTGTTCCTTGTTGCCTAGCCCTCTTTAGACGTCCCATTTACTGATAGTTGAATATTAGTTTATACAGTTAAGAAGTTATTTCAATACATTTGTTATTCAGTTTTAGTAATCAAATGTTACCTTACTTCGAACTCTTACGATGGCTCAAAGCTGTGTGATGTAAAAAATGTTATGGGAACAACTCAAGATATCTGCCATATGTATCGTTACGACTCTATATCAGAAAAAGTGAAACTCTGCTTCTGTTTACTAAATACATACACAACTATCGAAAATTCGTTTTTACGTATAATTATACACCTAGGTCCATTAACTGCATAAACACGTCGTAATAAACCTGTTCCTGACCTTGGCTTCCTCAATAAGGCTTCCATACTTTTGCCTCAAATTAATTCATAGCCGACTGCTAGACACAATTATGTTGGCATAGTACTATATAAAAAACAAACTCCTTCACATAGCAGCATTCAATAGTTCTCGATCGTTCGCCTAACAATGGATCTACTCTGCTTTTAACTACGGTAAGTCTGCTTTTTGTCTTTCATAGCTGCAGAATGTGTCGACAGCAGTGTAAAAAAATCAAGGACAACCAAGAAGGAATAGACCTTGTCTTTGTAGATCATCTATCGTTATCTGCAAGCCGTTCGTGCACTAACCTTTATAGACGACGCCGATCAGTTTAAGGATATTCGGGTGCGAGAAGTTGGCCATTATGAGAACTTCCCGCTCGAAGTCGGCCAGTGCCTCGTGAGAGGCTGAGTCCTTGAGGACTTTTACTGCAACGTTCAGTGTGCTACCATCTAGTTGTGTGTATAGTGCCCGATGCACTTTACCAAAACACCTGCACGGAGAGAAGGAGCGAAGTGATCAGATGTGAGATCAGGCTAAATAAAATACGCCTCGTTTAAATTACGCCGTTCCGCTGATTTTACTGAATAAATATTGCTATTAAATGCGTTGTTACTTTGTTGAAATGTTGACTTTCAGAGATCAGAAGCAATAGACAACTCACTGATGTCTCTATCTGCACGTATATGCTGTCATCGCTAGGTAGTTGACTGACTGTATGTATCGACAAATATCATATGGTATTGGCGATCTAGCTAAGGCTACTTCAGTCCTAATGCAGTTTGTTTCTAGATACTTGAAAAGCCAGTTACCGCAAGAAATTTTTTACCTACTTAACGAACTACAGCTTGTCAATTTAAGCGTTGCTTTCATGATTAAGGAAACCTACCTACCTACCTACCTACCTTATGAACTATACAGAAGCAGGCGAGCCCAAAGCCCGGGTATATTAGTATATAGTATACAAAGGTTATCAATATGAAAAATACTTATTTATTATAGTGTATCTGATTATAGTAGGATCAAAATTGTATCTTAACAATATATCGGTAGCAAGGGTATGACAAAGAATTGTTCTAACGCTCAGTATGATAAATTTCATGCCCTTATATGTAGCCAAACCGGATCACTGAGCCAACTGGTATATATATGCATTCTTCTTTTTCTTTTTATAAAATATAGACTAATTATTAATAATTTTCCGATACTATCGTAAAGTGTGCTCTAGAGAAAAGGTAAAAAAAATCCAGTTTCGTCACTTTCGACACAGAGTGGTATAGTAAGTTCATATCGCACTAAGAAATGCGATTTTTGACCTTATAGCTATAATCGATGTAATGTTCGGAGCTCATATTTATTATGACAAAAATCCAAGCCGTCAAATTTTGTACGATTTTTTATAATTTTTCTAATATGTATATGCGGAGAGAACACCTTAAATTTGACCTCAAACTAGGCCTGTTATACAGCTTCTTATCTGTATGTACTTTAAGGTACTTCCCTAACGATAACCGAACTACAATAACATTTTTAGATTTCACGAATATAGACGTACTTTCTAAGCAGATTTTGTTATACACAAATTTTCTGAGAAGCAATCATAAAAGTTTAAAAATAATACCTAAAATGCATTAGTTAATGATAGGAAAACTCCTTATAAAGAACCCTTTTTCGGCCAGTTTTCATCTAGAAAGATCACAATTATTTAAAAAACGTACCCAAAGGACAATAAACCATACATGGCACTCGAAAACGTAAAAACCAGATTAACGACGAGTTGACCATTCCGTCGCAGCTGTAAAAAATTTTAAATTGGCAGTCTGTGTTATGAAAAATTGACAACATGGAAAGTAACGATTGCTTCATGCTTCGAACCATCCAGCTACAAACGAGTACAAAGCTAAATTTAACGTAATCTAGTACGTTCTTCGGTATTTTCACGTGTAGTCTGGATCTTGAGTGACCAACTCGCTGCGTTCATCATTTTGAATCCCAGCTTGAAGTTCGATTTCCCAGAAAAATGTCTAGTGAAACCTGGGTTGCTTTCGCAAAAGTAGGTGAACTTTTTATCAAAATACCATTTCCGTTAGTTTCTGTGTGGATATTGAATATTCTTGCTACATGTTTAATAAATAAGTTTTACAGATGAGCAGTACACGTGTATGTAGATTAAGCCACCCTGTATACACAGTTGTTGAATGACGTACTAAATATATATGTTTTATAAGCTGCAAATAAAGCCATCCCCCGAAGCCTTTTCAAAGTGCTGTTCTTCAGAGCTCCTCATACAGAGTTAGTCTTAAAATTAGCAAATGCGTCATATAGTAAATGGTTGTTAATATTCAGAAAGGCTAAAGCAAGCTGAAGTTATGAAACTCGCACAGAAAAAAAAAAAGCATATGTTTTCATTGAAGGAAGTCTCATTTAGCAATTGTGATAAATTCTATTGAAAGTTTTACCTTTCATAAATCACTATTTAAGGTTATTGCACGTTCGCGACAACTAAAGTTACTTAGAAATTATCTTGTCGGCTTTCCCTCCAGGCCAACGATGCAAGTAAACGAGAAGCCAAACGCTTTAAAGAAGTTTCAAAACAAGGTTTACAAAAAAGTTTCAAAACAGAGTTACCAGTGACATTAATTACTGGACCAGTGAAATTAGGTACTGGTTATCGCTACAGGTTCAAATGTTAAAGCTTAATGTAGGTAACAGCTGCCATACAAATATCAACAAAAGTATTAAACAGGTTACTTTGTGGTATTTTGTAGTATCGTTGCTCATTACATAATCTCAATTAGATAATTTTTCATTATATTTTTCCAAATAAATATTCGTCGTTTTGGATAATATATAAGCGAAATTAAAAAAAAAAGCAAGGGCAACCCAATTTGCACGCAAATCACTCGATTTTTTTAACTCTTTAATTAGAAAATATGGATTAGCAATACATTTTTTTTTAAGCTATTCCCTAATCTATGGCGATAACGATAATGATTATGGTTATTATTATTATTATTATTGTGCAACTGAAGTTAACTAACATATAATATATTTATGTGTTCTTGCACATAAAGTATAATTAACTGATTTGTTGTAATAAACACATATATTAGTAAATTAATTTTCATTTCGTAACATACATTATTGTGCATCCTTGACCCTTTATAAAAAATGCACTAATCATTATTTTACCTCCTATTTACTATAATATATTCAGACTTCACATAAGCTTCTCACGTTGTGCTTCACTCATCAACAAGAATAGCACGCATATCGAAAAATCATGTACGGGTCATTGTCGAGGGGCGACTGGCTGCACATTTTGCTCGCCTGACACAGCTTTTTCACTCAGTAAATATGTTGGGTCCACTTCTGGTTGCAATGACGTCAGCAAAAGCAGGATAATAACAGGAGCATGCTAGCAAAGATGTCTAAGAACAATAGATGTTTGGTTGGCATCCATTTAACCTTTCTACGGGAGCTTCGAAAGCATCGTCGAGGCCATTTTGCGGTCGCTTAGTACGTCTCTGCGATGAAATAGTAGTATGTGCACACCTCAGTGGAGCAAGAAACTGAGTTGTTGGTCAGATAACGACTGCTGGTGAAATTTTGTCAAAGAAAGCAATCTCCGTTCAATAGCCACAGCTTACCAACTCCCATTTCTCTCCCTCTTGCTATATATATATATATTGCCCCCTCTATTTTTCACTTATCACCTCCACGAAGAAGAAAAGGCTTCGTCGACAAGGAGGTCTTTGTAATCTCTTGCAATGGTCATCGTCGATGAAAGGAAAATGACAACGCCAGGCCCAACAGTTCCTAGGCCTGTCGTCCAACACCCTTGTCTACTACTTCTTTCCATTTATTGACTCCACGTCAATAGTACTCGGTGGATAAACGGGTTCCACAGTACGTCGTCCGTGAACAGTTTTCGTCTTTAAAAAACGATCTCACATCTTTTGTCATTCCATCTATAAATTTTCTCGAATGTCACTGAGTATTGTCCAAAGCAGTGCATCAAGTGCACAATAGTCTTATACCTCCCAGGCTACAGACATTGCAGGCCTCTGATTGGATCGCTTCAACTCACGATAGGTACAGCAGGCCTTCCACTCAATTTTCTGTATTACTCCCAATTTGATTCGGCCCTTCCCGACTAGTAATGTAAAATCCAAGTCAACTTTGAAATTTACTTACGAAGGACAAATTAACGAAACAAAAGCTATCAGAATAGGTGAAATATCGCGAAGAGGGTACAAAACACAAGGTGATAATTAATAAATTTATAAACACTATATCCAATATAGGTCATGCATAAAATGCTTTCATATACGTGTACTCTTTTCCTATTGGGCCGATGCGATATATGTACCATCTTGAAAGGTAGATGTTTGTTTGTTTTCTCCCTATCTACCATATAAATGTTATATTTGTCACACTAGTCCTATTTACAACACGGCGATAACGTATGGGCTATCTGATTGCAGGGTAATATACTATCCCTAATAATCGATGCTGGTGTTACAGTGTGAGAAAAACTTCTAATATACAATTGTAAAAATGTTAAGCTAACAGTTCGGATAAAATTGAGGCAGTATTTGTATCAAACAGATAGTTGCTTACTTTTCTAAAAATAAGCGCACCTTTCCATCTTTTAAGGCTCCTATCTGTCCTTACTGCAAGCTTAGTGTCTTGCCAAGTATATATATATGTATCTATAGAAGCAGGTATACTTTTACTGTAGGTTACGCTGAACTCACCCCTCTCCGATCTTTTCAATAAATTCAACTTTCTCTTGGTCAATTTCAAATTCGTGTAGAACTCGTTTGAACGGAGTGTCCAAATGGGTCGGATGGTACGCGGGATTCGTCACATACCTGTAATAGAGTTATTTATCGTATATATACATTTAACATAATGATGCAGAAATATATAGGCAGATCATTTTTTAAAAAGTATCGCAACATTATCAGAGTTTTAGGTTACCCAGGCCTCTCGCTTACATTCGCCTGATCCTATTATTATTAACGGTAAATCATCTTAGTTTTGCGTGCGTTACTGCCATGAAGAAATGGTCAGAAAACGGCAACAAACAACAAAAAATCAATTGCTGAGAACACTGTCTATAATCGGATGTACAAAGTGAATCTTCTCTCGATGGATTTGCAGAAATTGATCTACGACAGACACGCAAATGTTTTTGGTAATAAAACGAACATGTTTGGGGATCTTCTACTTTACTGTACCAGATTTCTCCCAGCCCTGTAGCCCACACGTGGCCCTGAACGGGTCCCCTTTGATCTCGGCACATAGCGATAAGTTCCTATGTTTTTGAGACATAAACAGCATCTCGGATAGTCTGGTCTTCTTAGAGTCAGTCTTCTACATAGACCAATGCCGATTAATGGTATATATTTTGTTCGATTAATGTTTCAATGAACCTGTACTGGCCAGCATGAAAAAGTAATCTTCGTGTCATACACTGGGAATTTAGATCCGGTTCTTAAAGAATATAAACGCGGCTAGAATATTCATAAAACTCATACATAGTGGCATCTAAAAGCATCATAATTTAGAAACCAATATGCGTAAAGCAGAACTAATTACAATAAGTTTCGGTACCTAAACCGATAATAATACACCCAATATATGACACGATTTATTGGTCAACACAGATAGTTCACCCGCGGCGGCCCAGTTTCTTCTGTCTTGTCAGGTGAATTCGTTTGGTCTGAGCTCCAGCCTAAAATTCGACTATCTACAGACACTTGCAGAGCACCCCGCTCTTCACATATTCGAAACACATCAAAGCTGCATGACGGCGTGACCTGTCTGTCGCCTTTTTAACGAATTTTGTACGTATTAAGGGGGTTTACCTGTCTACGAAATCCGCTCTTTTCGTACTGAAGTGTGGACTAAATTGGAAAATGTGTATTATCACTAATAGTTTAGCTTCACATTATGTAAGACAAAGTACACATGCTTCCAATTGAATAGAACTGCCTTCAAAACAGCGAACCTCACGCCTTTTGAATGTCTAGACGTTCCACGTGTGTCAGCAATGAATAAAGCAACACTGCATTGTAGATTTAAAGGAAACGAAAAATCTGCAGAAAGTATCACTTGGTCAGCTTGGTTGGACCTGAGCATCGATTTACGAAAGGAGTACTCGAAAAACGTCCAACGCAGGAATAGGACACAGAGCAACAGATTAAACTATCTGCCCAAGCTCTATTGGTGTTGACTCTCTAAATGTCCCACAATCATGCGGCCCAATACAGGATCGTTACATGCAAACCGTAACACAGATGCACGTTGCGGTAAAGTTTCGAGCTTAATATTTTGTCTGCGACTAGTTTGAGCGATTTATATTTACCATTACGTTTTTTTTCTTCTCCGCAGCAGAACTACTTGGAAATTCTACTTGCGCCTATCTCGTTATGGCGGAGCGCATGTATCTCCATCCAGTACTTAAGTCCTGCGACGCGTATTATCTAACAAACTTGTTTCAAAATAACTCCACGCAGCGAGTATGCTTGTATAACATACAAGAAGCAAAATTAAGCCTTTGCTGTAAAATGGGAACGAGGCTAGGTCTGAATTCAATTTGTAATGGAAGTTTAGTCATGAATACCGCAAATAAATGCATTTCAATAATCATCTAGACGCTCGTCAACGCCTATCCTTTGGAAGCAGCATTGAGAAGTGCCTTGCGAGGTTCTCAAAAGCTACAATATGCTACAACGAACTCGAAGAGGCTTCTGCAGCTCAAAACGTAGCGGAGATCTGAAAGGCGAGTGCGTGGCCAGATTGGAAAGCTACTTCTGGGCATTTTTTGGACTAGCGTGGTCATGGTTACAAATTGATAACACGCTTACATAATCGACCTCTTTAAAGTAATTACTTATATTCTATAACCGGTAACAAGCCACCTTTGTGTTTCTCTCTACAATTCTAAACTCAACTAATTACGAGACTCTGCGACGCGGAATGATTTGCTAGTTAACAGGTACGTCTGAAATTAATATATCGAAGTCCGACTCGCCCATAGAACCTCATAATCCAGCTTTTCACAAGTGAAGATAGGCCGCCCACGTGCTGGGCTAAACCTGTACGTGTTCGCTGCTAGTATCGAGCTGGACGGTGAGATCTTATTTACTTTATCGCTGGCATGCTGTCTTGCCGATTACCTGATTCCCTGAGCGTACGCATAAGCCCCTATACACAAAAAGTGATGAACGCTATTATAACCTTTGCATCGACAGGATTATTCACCCGTAGTAGAGAGCCCTTTGTTTGTATACTGTGTTTATGGCAGACAACTTATATACTGAGACATATTAAGACAAATCCGCGGCAAATGTTTGCCACCGCTAAATCATAGCACAGATTAGTCCGCCGTATTGTAGTATAAGCCGGTAAATAGTCTTTTGGCTTTTGACATCTCAAAATCTGCCTGCACTACTGTCTATGAGGGTTGCGCGAATTGTCGTCTCTACTTCGCTGAAATGTTTTGGAAAAAAGTAACGTATAGACTATATTTGGGCTAGCACTTGATGCAGATGATAGCATTTGATGTATTTCTCATTTTATGGGAGAATATTCCTTTTTACTAATTTTCCTACTACTTTTTATTCACCTCCCACAATTTAACTTAGAGCTGGATATTCGTTCGAAGTCTCAAGTTAGGCCTGGATTAGCGACTATGCAGCAACGAAATTGGTCGTGTTTTCCCGAACTCAGACTCGCTTTATAAACTATGTCTAATGCTTAAGCACAATAGTATACGCTATATCCATTATACTTTATGTTTATATTCGCTAACATACAATCCAAGTTTCACCAATCATATTATATGTCACGTTACCATTTCGGGTTAGCTTGCCGAATAAATAAATCATACAATGTTATATACAATGGAAATAGGGTTTATAATCGTTTATATACCATTAAGATTTCGTATGGACGAGTTTTACGGCTGTCAGCGGAGATGTACAACAGGCTAAGCAAATTTAGTAGAAGAGCTTAAACGAATTATATTGACATATCCTATATAAACGATGCCGCTATTTCTCGAGCTCACAAATAGCGGTTATATCTGAACATACCATCCAACTGTCGGCATCCGACTGTAAACACAAATTACTATAGACTTTGTTGATAGAATTTGGGCATCCTCGATGAAGACTTGTTTTCAAAAGCGAACGACTAATACAATTGGGTTTATGCCGAGCCCAAAATAAATAGGTTTCTTATCAGTTCAAGCGTACGGTTTAAATAGATTTTCCGACAGTGTGTCTGTGCGGTCGATCCGGTGACCCCTATTGTTTACCATTTGCTAACACCCCTTAGTTATGGCTGGTCCGACATAATCGAAACAAATCCCACTACGCCAGGTTCGAACGCCGTCCCGTAATGCTGGCAGCATAAACACCGACGTAGCGATCCTAATAAAGCCGAAGATCATATGCATCCTATTCCGGCGCTACATAAAATCGTTAGATTCGTCCCTCGTTATTATATATATCTCAATGAGGAGAGGTTCAGTTCGACTTGAATTCGGTCAACGAAGCGAGAAAGAACCTTTATATTTTTAACGCTTGTCACTCTAGTGGAAAATTGTATTTACAAATATTTCAAAGAACAATGCCAGATATTTAAATATGAACTGAAAGCCCAAAGAAAGATATCGCGAAAAAATTTGTGGGTTATGAGCCTTTAAGTTAGTTTGTACGGCCGTATTCAGACTACTCATAGTTTATCGCGAACTAGACAAACCACAAGGTGAAGCTAGTTGTTTGAAGGACATACGAAAATTCACTTTCAAATAAGGTTATAGAACGGCATACGAACAAAAATAGATGCTGAACACTTTTCTTAAATTTTGTAATTAATATATACACTGTTACGGGCAGTCTAGTCCGGTCTCAATAAAAGCTAGCTGGATAAAGGGTTATGGATACATTACACGGTATGAATTGATGTTCTACAAGAGACTGCTGTGAATTTATCAACTAACTTCGAAATTTACATTTTTGCTGTAGTCAAAATGACTATTACGCATTAAAACGCCTAAAAACCAAAACATTTAGGGTGAAATTCAAATAAGACTGGAGCGAGCAACGCAAAACTGAACACTTTGAGTAAGTATAGCCTGGCCTGTTAAATTGGCCTATTTGTGTTCCGTTAAATTTTCTGCCGGCGTTCCAGGCAACCGTTCGAAATTTAGCATTGGATCCTAATCAATTATCAGTTTGGCCACTGTCTCTTTCTATAATTTTGTGCTGCCTTCGACTTTTAGTAGTACTTAACATATTGTTTTCGAACGAACCGATGCTAACCGTTACCGAAAACGCTGAGTCGAGTTCGAAATCTCATAGACAGCGTATGGTTGATAAAGAACTGGCGCAAGAATAAAGCGGCTTTGACTTTATTCGTATGCAGAAATATTTTACTTAAATAACTTAGAAAGTTTTCGAGGACATTAACAAGTGGGCGGCTAATATCGTTTGAGGATTTTTATTTAATTCAATCAATCAGACGAATTCATATACGCTTGTCATTTGCAAACCATCTAATTGGTCCGGGAGACGTTCGTTGCTATTTAAATGTTTATAAAGAGATTAAACAATGGAGTTTTCTGAAATTTAATCAGCTCGTACTGCTAATAAGATATGCTAATAATAAGATATCGATGCAGTAGTCTGCTAAATTTATTTCAGCTAAGAGTTATGACATCCATTGCATTCAAAATATACACGAAAAACCCCATCCCGTTAGTATGTGTAATAATTATATATCATAAGTCTATTTCTGTGCATTTGAAATCAGACAATTCTATCATGACATGATTCCAAGTTGCGTGTGCCTAACAGCA